TATAGCCTCACTGTTATTACCACCATATCACAAATAATTGGCTGAGGCACAGAGAGGTTAAGAAATATGACCAAGGTCACACAGCTGGGAAAATTAGAGCTGTATTCAAGCCTTTGTCACCTGGATCTAGAGATCCAGCTTGTAGTCACATAGCTCTTTTACTTTGGGGTCCAGACTTCACTGAGATCAGGGTGTTCCCCCATTGCCAAGGAGTGCTCCTGAGTTTCCTTAGGCTGAATAACCCAGACTTAGAGAAATGTAGCACTGGGAAGGTGATGGCTTCTGGGTCAGGAGCAGGTCTTTTGGGTAGTGAGTTAGATTTTCAGTTTGATGGCATTTTTCTGCCGAGTGGGAAGGATAAGGTATTTGAGAAGAGAGAGCCTCTTTGGGAATGGGTTTGTACCCTGATGGAAACTGCACGAGAAAAGTCTACTTTTTTGATATTCTTCCTTAGGCCATAGGAAAACTCATGGGAAGTGTGCAGATTTAAGTTAAGAGGAAAATACGTTGTTTGTTTCTTGAATTACCCTAGTTGTTTAGACAAGACCGAAACACCTCTACCCCTTTGTGTTGACACAATGTAGAATGAAAGGTCCAGGCACTTGACGGGGATGTGGTCAGCCCCGCATCAACCTCTTGTCTGAGTCCATGAGAGGGGAGAAGAACTGATTAATGGGGGTTGACTGGGAGTTCCCAGTAATGACCAGTGAGGAAGAGTGGGAGCCTATGGCAGAATGGGAAGGAGAATAGGGCACTAAGAAGCGAGTTCCAAGGAGAAAAGTGATGTGAGGTAGATTTCCCCCTTCTAGTATGTTCTTAGAAAATCTGACCTATGGGAGAGGAGGAAAGGACAATACTTGGGTTAGATCTTTCTTCATTAAAGACCAACAGGACTGTTACTTGGTCACATGGTTTCAAAGATAGCAAGTCAGAGCGAATCTTGTGTAACCCTTTGCATGGGACTGGGCAGAAATGGGATTGAAGGACATACTAGATCAGCAAGGGCAGGAGATTGGGCCTCAAGCTTTGTTGAAGGCCCTGGCTGGAGTGCCATAGGTGGGCGGAACTCACAGGAAATAGAAGGTGTGCACAAGGAAAGCCAGCAGTCTCAGCTTCAAAGGAAGGTGGAGTCTGAGCTCAAGGGGGTGGTCTGGCCCTGGGGACTACTGCAAATATTAGGCGCTGCAACATGGAAAAATACCCCGGAGCATGCTCTAAGATGTGTGACTTCTCACGCACTAACTTTCATCTCAGGATCATACAAAGAGCAACACAATAATACTTGCCAGTCTTCGTTCGCTTATTTTTTTCATTCACTTTGCAAATATATATATTGGATGCTTCATGTGTGTCTTGTCTTGCACTAAGCCCTGGAGATACTGCTCCATTAGAAGGACAGGATTTCTGCTTGGACAGAGCTCACAGTCCATGGGGATGATCTGATAAAATCAACAGGGTAGCATTTTAGGTGCTTTGATGGGATAAGCACAAGTGCCCTGGGCTCATAGGACACACAAACTAAACTTTAACTGGGGTGGGGGTGGGGTGTTAAAGATGATGACGTCCTGGAGGAAGTGGCATCCACAGGGAGGTCTGGAGGGTGAATAGCTATCAGCCTGGAAAATTGGGGTGGGCGAGATTGTTTCAAGCAGATGAATCTTGACTCGAATAAGAATGAGAGACAAGGGCATCTGGGTGACTCAGTGGTTGAGCATCTGCCTTCAGCTCAGGTCATGATCCCGGAGTCCCGGGATCGAGTCCCACATCGGGGTCCCCTGTAGGGAGCCTGCTTTTCCTTCTGCCTGTGTCTCTGCCTCTCTCTCTGTGTCTCTCGTGAATGAATAAATAAAATCTTTTTTTTTTTTTTAAATAACAAGAGACAAAAAGGGAGCCCTGAGAGGCCTGATATCCCTAACGAGGGCTGTGCTGGCAGGAAATGGCTAGAAGGCAGAGGCAGGAGTCAGGGACAGAGCTTGATGGGCTTTATAATCTGCCTGTAAGGCAGGTCGCACTGCTGTCTTACAGGTGAGGCCAGTGAGCTCAGGGGGTTAAGTGATGTGCCCGGGATCACACAGAGTGTGTGGCAGAGTGGGAATTGGATCTAATATCTGCCTCACCCCAAAGAACTCTCTCTACATTATACTCCTAGGCATCTTTTTTTTTTAATATGGGAAAAAGTAATTAAAATCTGTACCCAGATAAACAATGTCTCCGTCTCCAGTAGACTCTTCTGCTTCATTTTCACCCAAAAGTCATTGCATCCTCTCAGGGTTAAACAGATTGAAATGCATTAAGGAATATTCTTCTCTGATCCTGATGGAGGCAGCAAATCACTGAGAACTCAGCTCAGTCTTAAAGTCCTTTCGAGCCAGGCCACGTTTGTATTCCAAGTGAGAGAGTCCAGAGTCCAGAGAGAAAAACGCACAGCAGTTTCTTTCATAGAATTTTTAAAAGGACTAGTCTGTTCATGACCTTGGTTGATTAGGGTCAGAAACTTGACATGATAATGCTGAATATGTCAGAAAAACCTATGTTTGTTCACTGGCCCATGTTCCTAACTGGACTTCTAACTTTTATGGATTTAACCCTTGGGAAATGCATGTTGGTTTGAAGGTGTGTGTGTGTGTGTGTGTGTGTGTGTGTGTGTGTGTGTGTTTGCTTTCTGCTTCTCTTCCTACTTTGGGACAAAATCCAGCATAATTGTAGCATTTAACTACCATTAAGTGAAAAGTAAAGTTCACTGAAAACAATAAGTGTTGTTATATCTCATAAGCACCCACAGAACTTCCATCCAGGTGCCTCCTTCTCGGGCAAACATCTGACGATGACAGTCTTCCCATTTCATCACCGGACTTTGGACTTCAGTTATTCTCCATCTCACTCCTGAGGCCCTGCAGCCACCAGCTTGTCTTGGACAAAACTGAGAAATGGGCAAAGCATACCCTGAAGACTGTCAACCTTCTTTTCCTCCTCTCTACATGGGGCTTCACACTCAGTGGCTTATTTGCCCAGCACCATACTGTATGTCCATCCTCTTCCACCAAAACGATGACCAAGAAAGAATCTCAAATTTAATTAGTGGAAGAATGGTGGAGTAATTATGATGTTGATAACAGCTTACACTTAGATAGTGCATACTATGTGCAAGGCACATGGTGCTCAGAGTTTTGTGAACGTTGACTCAATGAGTTGACTCCAATAATTCCCTGCACTAGAGAATAGAATTATCCCTCTGGGTTATGGAGAAGTTAGTTTACTTATCCAAGGTCATGTCATTAGAATGTGGTAGATCATGGTTTGGATCCAGGATGTCTGGTTTTGTTCATGCTCTTGATTGTTATATTAGGAGAATGGGACAGATTCGTTGACAGGACGTTGAAGGCACTATACTAGACACCATAGGAAGTATTTTACTTAATGCTCCTAATTAGCTTTTGAACTCAGATTCTATAACCCCAATTTGCAAAAAGGAAGACCAGAGGATAAGCGACTTGCCGAGATTTCATCACAAGCAAGTGGTGGACCAGGAATTAGACCCATGGTCTGAGTGATTACAAATGCCATGTTTGTAGTTGCTCCATCACATTCTGGGATTCAGGCCATCCATCATCGATGGCCAGTCTCTTCAGATTTTTCACTTTAAATATATAGTCAATATCAGAGTATTAAGTTAGATTATTGCAGCCGTGGTCATTTGGGGTGGAACTTTGGGTAGCAACGGGGAGGCAGGAGAAACATTATATTTGGGTGTTGGGGGAGTGGGCACTGAGCCACTCTTGGATGTCGAAGTTACACTTTGTAGGATGGTGACCACTTGGCCATCCTAGCACACCAGCCTCATTTCTAGAAGCCTTTTCTTTCCAGTTCTAGCCCACAGTATTCGCCTATCTTCACCCCAGTAGTTCACAGCCCCCCCCCCCAAAGTGGCCTAAATTCACCTTCTTTACATTGTCACTCTGGTTTAACAGTGTCACCTGAGCTAGAAATGTCCCTTCTCCTTCACCTGTCACATGTCGTCAGTCCCCGAGTTCTATGCATTTTGCCTTTTGCAGACCTTTCTGATCTATTCTCTCTCTCTCTCTCTCTCTCTCTCTCTCTTTAATCTATTCTCTTACACTTCATTACTCATCCTGCCTTCGCTGGGTCATTCATCATCAATCGCCTACAGGATCATAGTTATCTCCCAAGTGAGCTCCTCACTCCTGGTTTCTCTTTCCTCTCGTGTGCCATCATTGCTGCCCCTGGTATATAATTGCCCTGATAGGGAAATCCGATTACCTCACTTTCTTGTTCAAAATCTGTCAGCAGCGGGCCCCAAGCACTTATGTAATATCTCCTCAAATATCAGGCTATGGTCTTTGGCCTTGTCCTCTTGCGGCTGATGGGGTCTCTTAGACATTTGTAAAAATCCTTTTTTAATTTTAAGAACATTTAAAATTTAAATAGATGCATCTTCTGGGTCATTTGATGGACTCTTGTGACCAGGAGTCAAGCAGCCCTATTTTTATTGTCCTGGGCTATTGAGAAAATAAATGAAAGGGACACCTAGGTAAGGGATGTGATGGCTATGTGACATCGCCACAGTCTCTTTGGATGGCAGTTTCATGCCAGTTTGATTTGAAAGAAGGATTGGATGAGTTGAGTCATTACTTAGCGCATGGTCATTTAGGCATATTGAATTTAAAATAATGTACGTACACACTTTCTGTGAGTGCACAGTCACACGCCAGGAGCCATTTGGTTTTAGTTAAACAGTAACATCCATTGCATTAAGTGAATTTTGTTAATTGGCATTAGATTGGCTTTTACCTTATATAAATTTGTTTTGGTTTTATTATTGTACAAGGATTGTAAATGTTGGGATTATATTACCTGGTTTATGTTTGTATACATTCGCATAATGTTGTAATAAAAACAAGTTGTCAATACTAACGATATTTAATAAATTCTTTCTTATAAAATTGACCCAGTTTTCCACCCCAAGTTGAGGAAATACTGACCTGTGGAATCACATGCAAACTCCTTAGAACAGCACACAAGGCCCTTTGTGTCTTGTCTCTACCACACTTCAGCCTCATTCCTGCACCTTCCCACTTGACTAGAGCTCCTTGACAGTAGAGATGATCTCTTATTCACATTTGTACCCATCTGTGGAACAATGAACAGATGTTTATAGGACCATCAGTGAAGGAATGAGTGAATGAACATGTGATGGAAGACAAAAGGAAAAGGAAGGCCATTCCCCTGAACTAGTGGCCAACTTCTAACATTATTCTAAATAATAAGGTTCCTTGTTTGACTCCAAGCTAGGACACATTCCAGCCTCTCTTATCTCGTCAGCCCCAAGTTTCTTACTGAGTAAGTCATTTACGGGCTGGGCGAGGGCGAGGGAAGGAGCGAGGGAGGGTAAGGGGGAGGGGTAAGGGGAGGGGTAGAGAGAAAAAGAGATAGAGAGAGAGTCAAAACTAACACTCACAGGACAAGGTCAGATGCAGCCCATATCCCAAGGGAAGGAGTCATCTCACATGGTGTTTTCAACTTGGAAATTCTCAGAGGATCAAAGGGAGCCTGTTCATAGCTGCTAGTCCCAGAGCATATCAACTGTTCCTTTCCCTCCTCCCCTTTTTAGCTTCCAAAAGAAGAATGATTCATTTAAACAGACTTTTATGTGTACTTTATTTTTAGTCCAGGAAGTATTTGCTTTAAATGTTGGTGTACGGAATGTGAGTTCAGATCAGCTGATTGTCAGGAACAGACAAGCGGCTGCAGAAGAGCCTAAGTAACCAGCAACAAAGCTTCGTGGCTCTTCATGACCTCTAGGGTCTCTGTTACTTCCAAAATTCTATTTAGTTCCTATATACTGAGTTGCAGTCAGCTGTACTGGGGCTTCTGCCCTAATGCTATTCTCATAAGGAGGGTTTCGGTGTACCCGGTAGCCACTCTCATTCCCTAAAACAGAAGAACTCTCTTCTTTCCACCGTTCAAGAATTACCTCGTGCACCAGGCACCATGCTAAGCCTGTCTGACACAACAAAATTATAAATTATAAAATAGGTTCTTCTTGTATCTGCATAAAATTTTATATAGAGAGAATCTGGTTGGGACAAAAGAGACTATCAGTCTTGTTTCATTCCCTAGAAATTTGCCTTTGGATACTGCATGTGGGGATGAGGAGACTGAGTCCTCCATGACCTAGAGCAAGTCATTCACCTCTTTTGAACTCAGATTTTTCCTCTGTAAAATGATGATGGAAAAATACCTGCTTTTTTTTTTTTACATGAAGGGCACTGATGAGGACTAAAATGAACACAAGATGGTCTATGTGAAAGCGATCAACTGTATCAAATACCAGCATATGGGGGGGTTATTGTTCTCAGCATACCCTTCCCCCACCCCTCTCATTAGGACATCTTCTATAAATGAAGTGATTAATAAAGAAGGCATTAGCTCCATACTGTTCAATAGTGAATGTCCTCCCTCATTCTACCAGAAAAAGGTACTCAGAGAGAATGGGGCTGGAGCACGGCCCCCTCTGGGCAGGGCCAGGCTACCACCACTCCTGGAAGCTCAGATCCGAGGTACACACAGTGGGCAGAGGGGACACTATGGGAAGGCCTGTTTCTCTTTCGTCTTCTGAGCGGTGTGGATAGATGGAAAACAACCAAATGAGAGCTGTCTAAGCTTGCTGGTGTCCCTTCCCTGAGCACCTGCCCATGGGCAGCAGCTGTTCAAGAGAATGAAACAAGTTCCTGGGGATTTTTTAAATTCTATTTTGTCACTGTACCCAAATAGTAAGACAAAGCCATCCTCTGCCTTCTGGGAGCTGTATGTAAACAATCTCCTCTACATCACAGTGATAACTTGGTTAGTTTGTTAGTTCTGTCCTGCCTACCGGCCCTGGCCCACCCCAGCTTCACAGCTGCCTTCTGGTGTGTCCACCCACATGCACACATGCATATTGGGGAGGAAATGTTACTGCTTCAGTATGGAAATAAAGGCTTTCCCTGTGATGTAAACACCACTTTGTACTCTGGTCCTTACCTTTAGGAAATGCACATTTCCTTTTCAAGGGAAGAGACCAATCCTGTTGGTAATGGAAAGTACTTTCCCATTGCTATCTTGAACCTCATATGCAGGCTATTCCATTCATTCATTCAGTTACTCATTCATTTATAAATCAAGGGTCTACTAGGTACCAGACACTGTTCTAAGTGCTTGAAATAAAGTAGTTAACAAAAGAGAGAGTCCCTTCCTTCATGGAGCTTATATAGGCAGTGAGAGGACACAGTCAATAGAACAAACAAGAACATGTACAGAACAGCTTCAGACAGTGAATGACATAGGGTGACTTGACAGAGAATGGCCATGAAGGGAGGGGAGCGATATCTAGGAAGGCCTCTCTGAGGAAGTGCATTTGAGCTGAGACCCGAAGATAAGGGGATCTGGGACAGAGCATTCCGTGTGAGGGGAAGGAAGCATCAAGTGTGAGGGTGGAGAAGGCCCATCTCGCTTGCTGAGGAGCCAATGTCTGCTTTGCTGACACTCAGAACAGCTGGGTGTCCAGATTCCCAGGCCAGTTTTCTGCTCCCTAAACCATGTCACTAGTGGGTGCCCACAGGCTTAAGAATATAGGCTATCTGCTTCTCTGCTGATTTTTCCCCCTTATTGCTGGCTCTTTCCAGCAAAGAGAGTAGCACAGATGTATGATGGGTTCAGATTACTCCCTTTCCTCAAATACCCCTATTTCTAGCTAGGCCCCCTAAACCTTGGCGGAGATCTCCTTCTATAATGCTGACTGAAGCCAGAATTGGTACACAATTATTCCTAACTCCTCCTCCACCTTCTCCTCTGCTAGAAATTCTGATCTTTAATCTTCAGACACAGTTGTCAGTCTGGGAACTTATAATGGGTTGTAAGAATGCCCATTTGGGGCACCTATGTGGCTCAGTCAGTTGAGTGTCTGACTCTTGGTTCTGGTTCAGGTTATGGTCTCAAGGTCATGAGATCGAGCCCTCTGTAGGGCTGCACGCTCAGTGTAGAGTCTGATTGTCCCTCTCTCCCTGCTCCTCCCCGTGCTCATGCTCACTCTCAAATAAATAAATAAATAAATGCTTAAAAAATAAAAAGAATGCCCATTTAAGAAAGGGCACCTGTGAATAGACCAGTCTCCTGGTTTGTACCACTAAGAAGAATGGGGAGTGGAACAACTCCCTTTATAAATCAATGATGTAGGAGAAAGAGAAGCAGCCCCCAGAGAGGAAAACACTCACTAGATGTTAAGGACTATCTTACTTGCAAGGTAACACCCCATGAGAGCATTTTACACAAGTCTCCCCAGATGCCTAAAAGAAATTGCCTGGTGACTTGGCTCCTCTCCACCCTTTGTCTGTTTATGTGCCCATCAGTCCTAGGAGTATTTGAAATGCATAGCAACCACTTTTCCCCACATAATTAAATTAAAAGGTATAAGGAACCAAAGAAAATATTCTACAACTCATATCAAAGTGGGTATAGCAAGCATACAAGATTTCTAGGCCATTTCAACTCCAGAGTGTCATTCTTCTCATCAACAAGGAATGTCAGAGTTCTTCCTGCCTCCTTGTTTAAAACTTGTCCCTGAATGGATATGATATAGTGTGTGTTTGTGTGTGTGTGTATGCACACACACACACACACAGGAATATTAGCCATCAAAAAGAATGAGATCTTACCATTTACATTGACATGGGGCGGAACTGGAGGGTATTATGCTTAGCGAAATAAGTCAGTCAGGGCACAAAAACAGACACATAGACCAATGGAACAGAATAGAGAATCCAGAAATGGACCCTGAACTTTATGGTCAACTAATATTCGACAAAGGAGGAAAGACGATCCACTGGAAGAAAGACAGTCTCTTCAATAAATGGTGCTGGGAAAATTGGTCATCCACATGCAGAAGAATGAAACTAGACCACTCTCTTGCACCATACACAAAGATAAACTCAAAATGGATGAAAGATTTAAATGTGAGACAAGACTCCATCAAAATCCTAGAGGAGAACACAGGCAACACCCTTTTTGAACTTGGCCACAGTAACTTCTTGCAAGATACATCCACGAAAACAAAAGAAACAAAAGCAAAAATGAACTATTGGGACTTCATCAAGATAAGAAGCTTTTGCACAGCAAAGGATACAGTCAACAAAACTCAAAGACAACCTACAGAATGGGAGAAGATATTTGCAAATAACATATCAGATAAAGGGCTAGTTTCCAAAATCTATAAATAACTTATTAAACTTAACACCAAAGAAACAAACAATCCAATCATGAAATGGGCAAAAGACATGAAGAGAAATCTCACAGAGGAAGACATAGACATGGCCAACATGCACATGAGAAAATGCTCCGCATCACTTGCCATCAGGGAAATACAAATCAAAACCACAATGAGATACCACCTCACACCAGTGAGAATGGGGAAAATTAATAAGGCAGGAAACAACAAATGTTGGAGAGGATGCAGAGAAAAGGGAACCCTCTTACACTGTTGGTGGGAATGTGAACTGGTGCAGCCACTCTGGAAAACTGTGTGGAGGTTCCTCAAAGAATTAAAAATAGACCTGCCCTACGACCCAGCAATTGCACTGTTAGGGATTTACCCCGAAGATTCAGATGCAATGAAACGCCGGGGCACCTGCACCCCGATGTTTCTAGCAGCCATGTCCACAATAGCCAAACTGTGGAAGGAGCCTCGGTGCCCATCGAAAGATGAATGGATAAAGAAGCTGTGGTCTATGTATACAATGGAATATTACTCAGCCATTAGAAACAACAAATACCCACCATTTGCTTCAACGTGGATGGAACTGGAGGGTATTATGCTGAGTGAAGTAAGTCAATCGGAGAAGGACAAACAGTGTATGTTCTCACTCATTTGGGGAATATGAATAATAGTGAAGGGGAATATAAGGGAAGGGAGAAGAAATGTGTGGGAGATATCAGAAAGGGACACAGAACATAAAGACTTCTAACTCTGGGAAATGAACTAGGGGTGGTGGAAGGGGAGGAGGGCGGGGGGTGGGGGTGAATAGGTGACGGGCACGGAGGGGGACACTTGACGGGATGAGCACTGGGTGTTATTCTGTATGTTGGTAAATTGAACA